TACTCTTGTATCACCTGATTAATTATCTAAACTCGACAAACCTCATGTACACGCACACAAACAATTATATATAAATGCCCGTGCAACTCGGATTCGATGGATATGTAGTCCTGACGCCATAGAAGCAAAACTAGATCTTCTGAGAGAAACCTTCATCCCTGAGTCCCCATTAGAATATAAGATTTCTAACTTTGAAGTTATAGTAGTATTTGGCGTTAGGGATGGGGGTGAGATTGCTAGCCTCAAACTCAATCTTTCCACTTTCTCTAGGCTGACTGTTGGCTAGTAAACTAGGTGAAGTTATCACGAGTGAGTTCAACGCGTGTCGAACTCCGATCACGTGTGTAGTTGGTTAAGCAATCACTATCAATGAACCACCGAGACAACCCTTGAAAAAAAAACACATCTTAGTGCGAAGGGATTGAATTAAATTTTTGCTTACGTTCACAACGAGCACCCAACTCTAAAAACCTACTCGGATCTGACACATCTGTAGGCCTGACACCATAGAAGCACAACTAGATCTTATGAAAGAAACCTTCACCCTAAATGGATACCCAACAACATTCATCGACAAGAATATCATACCAAAAGTTCAAATAAACGAAACACTACTTGTTCTAAAATTGAAACTTTACATGAACCTCGATATGCCTAAAAGGAGAATTTCAACATATTTGAGAGGAACATTTTTTGCACCAACGATAAGAGTAGTGTTCTCCACTCGTCCACTGATCTGAAGAAGCCCTGACGATAAGATCTCGCATCTCACCACTTTTACGTACATATTTGTCAGTTCTCGTGAAGCCAAATATACTGGTCCTTCGACGCGTATCCTATCTCAAACGGTTCAAAAATACTATCCCTCATGGTTGTACAAACGTAGTAGTGACTCTGTTTCGAATGAGCTTGTCAACACTGGTTATTCCATGTCAACAAACACTTCCCTGGAAGTAATCTACAAAGTCAAGGACAAACTGATGAAGGCAATACGCTTTCGTCACCTTCCTTTGCACCTATGAATCTCTGGTCATTCGGACAGGCAAATCGGAGCTCTGCATACAACAGAAAACCATTCAACCACTTCTACAATCATGGTAACAACCTTGTTGATTTCTGTGACTTGATTTATGTTTGCTTGTTTTTCTAACTCCTAAAAGTTCTCGTATTTCTGTAGAACTCTTACGCAATTTCATACTTCCCTTCTTTTTATGTGACCCTAATTACTACTCATCCACTGAAATTGATCATTTTCATACGTAACTCGAGTACCCTCTTTCACGCAAAAAGTATGTGAATTTTATTGTACAGCTGAGGAGATGAAATTAATTCGCCGAAAAGGGTCTCTTCGCTGGACACTACATGGTTTGTTTTCATCGGAGTTTAAAATCCACTGAAACAGTCTGTTGTTACCAGCTTCATATTTTCTCAATGGCAGTCAGCTAACGTAAGTAGACTGTTAATTCTTCCCAAAACCATAGAGCTAATTACACGGAGTAACCTTTTGTGTAGGGTGTTGGGATAACGATAGTCATTGTCTTCAACCTACATTTATACGGTCACGGTTTGTTGAGTGAAAACTTTTTTCGTCTTTTAGCTTAGTATACAGGCACTGATCCTTGCAGTTTACTGACATAGACAGGTACCTTAGTCAATCTGTCAACTTTAAAGTCGTGTAATTTTAGAAGCACATTTCTGTATTGCTTGATTTTTTTGTCACCTAACATTGGAAATGGATTTCCGCCACGTTTTCTGGGCATGAACATGCTGTCAAAACATATGAACTGTGACTTAGTGTCCGTAGCCAAGAAAATGCTGCACGTAAACTTAGAATTCAGAGGTGACTTAGCTGCCGACATCATCTCACAGTCCCTGGGAAAAAAAACATGCCCTGCTGCATTATTTAGAATAGCTTTTTCTAGTCGACGACTGCCATTCAATAACTTGAAGGACAAGATCTTGCATTTGGTCAACTCTATATGTGTTTATCAGTTTGTCTGCTCGTCTGAAGCTCGGTATTTCGGTCGTTCGACTCGGGGTTTGTCCGAGAGAATGAAAGGAAACTATCCTGCATGGTTACGAAGAGGTGAAAACGGTGCTACAAGAAGCGCAGTCATTGAACATCTAGTCGATACTGATCACCCTATCCGTATAGCCTTTCTTTAAAGCCATCTACAGGGCAAAACATAATTTGCTCAAACTATTAAGTATCCAACACATATGCATTACTAAAGCTTTGGCCATCGAAACAGGCAAGCCAGACCCCCTTATACATAGAAACGTTTGTTCAACGCGTCCAACTATCATCGTTCTAATCCGTCTTTGCCAAGGTACGAGATAACCCTTATTCATATTTTGGATCCACTTTGTTTTCGTTTTGTTTATTCACTTTGTATATCCTTCCCTTATTACGTCTTACTTTGAAATGTTCGGAGTATTACTTCACTTTTCCCACTTGTCATTCTAAATCAGTTTTTCTTTGAAACGTTGCATTTTATGTTATGAAATTTCGCGCCACGTTATACATTTGCCTAATAATCCTACAATTTTACACCTCCTCCCGACACCTACATATATTATTTGTTTTGCAACTTGACACTCAACCATGATTATAATCACAAGAACATTTTAACTGCATTTCATACCAGTGCTATTATTAACTTAAGTATTTACACCTTTGTTTAAATTTCCTCACGGGATACAATTTCTTAAAACCTTAAAGCTGTACGAGTGTACAGCTGTGCACACATCACTTCTTCAGTGCCTCACTTGACTCATAAGTGCTTGAGGTACTTACTTTCTGCACCCCAATTAAATCAGATTTACCAGGTAAAATACCAAGACGGTAGCGTTAATAGAAAACCTGTGTAATGCTGGTGAACACTAGCTTAGATTACTTTGTAGAAATAACTATTTATAATCAGCTCGATAGGAAAAGTAGTGAAGACAGTACTTTAAGTGAACAAACAAAAGACACAGATGACGAAGATAACCAGTCAACAACAACAACCGATCACCAGTCACTATGAACAACAGACATTTCAACCACGTCACCAATTCCACTTAAGGAAGCACCATCATCGTTTCGAATCCAGTTACCCGAAATACATGAAGATTTCAAATCCAGGATCGGAAAGACAATACACACCCACAAATTCATTAATCTCAAATCAGTGTGCAAATCTCACCTCACAACTAAGCCTAAACAACAACATTCAGATTTTAAACATTAGTGTCAAGTCATTCAATGCTACTATATGCTTTAGAGACTAACTTGGCTACCTCTGACTTTCATTAGCAGCTGCCCAGCCCGTTTCATCGATACTACACTAAAGATTATCATATGGTCAGTCAGAGAGGATAAGCAACATGAAACTCTGGAAACGGACCATAAATATCACAAGGGGAGTGGAGATGAATAAGGCATGCACTGAAAAGACTGTCGACTAGGGCCACGGGCTAGGTTACCGAACGGGGAACGATGAGTTCAGTGTTGTAGGGTGGCATGGAAGAGATAAAGTTTCAGTACTATATATTAATATTTACGTCATTAGTAAATATTACTTTATAACACTGAGACTATCAAAATAAATTTTACCCACAATGGAGTTATACTCTACTACAATATACAAGTTATATTATTACATCAATGACACATTAGGAATAATCTTAACTGCCTTAGTGGCACAAGACAGCCTCCATGTACTGGTAGCTCATTACCAGCTGGCCGCCCTGAATCTTCCCTAACCTAGACTCCTACATTACCCAGCATCACTCGTCAAGGAAGGCGGTGGTTCGACACGCGTAACATTTTCCGATCAATAACAGACGCTACTGGTTACTATCATCTCCAATGACAAGTATTTACATTACTGTACGTGTTTGTGGAGAGTACGTTGCTTAATACAATATTCTTTCTCGATACTTTATTTATAGCACACTTTGGCCAATTGAGTCAAATACCGTATTCAGGTCAAAATATACGACTAATTCAGAACCTGGCAGAGTGAAGATCAGTTCCGTGTACCATAGTCCGGGTCTGATTCTCTTGGTCCCCGTCAAGTCTTCGCAGCACTACGCCCTTTAGATACTATGTTAGTTAGGCTGTCTGCTCCTCATTTGCCCAAACTACAGTTATCTGGTGTGCAAGCAGAGACTGCTGAAAAACGTTAACCAGTATCGACTACCCCTTCTACGGATAAATTAGGCTGGAGTGTACTCAGTGAGTGTCCACTAAGAGGCAACACAATAGCATTTAGTCTTATTTTGTGCTCAACCGAACGATCTGCAGATAGACACACGTACGAAACAGATTCTCCGCCTAATCTGTTACAATTCCACAAGGAACCGTTCACTCTACAAAATAACAAACCAAATAAAGCTTAGTAATTTACTTGCCACTTCCAACATTTCTCCTTATTTCCCTTCAAATGTTAATATTAAGAAACATAACTTCACAATGCTCAAGTTAACGGAGATATGGCTAATTGATCCAGGCACCCAACTTACAGACAACGGGACACTGGTTCAAACCCATTAAGTTATGAAATTAAGTTAGTTTAGCCCCAGTAATCATTTATATATCCGAATATAAAATTTGCTAATCGCTTGTACACTCATTATGACTAACCACAAATTTAAACGGTCACCTTTCCCCTTATACATATCCTACTTGAGCATCTTCAAAGAATAACTTACGATTCAAGCATGAACTAAAATGAAAACGAAATAAACGCTAAGGGTGCATCGAATACTAGTAACAAACCGCACGTTAAAGTGCTATTCCTCGTAGAAACCCTACATGAACTGTAGTCCGAAACTACAAGTGCTTGAAGGAACTGAGAATTGATAAGTCGTCTATGTAACACTATATACAAGCACTCAGTGAAAATGTTGAAAATATTTTGGATGTCAACGCGCACAGCAACAAGCATATGACTACCAACGACTCTTATATAGAACATATGAGGCGCTCTACTAAATAGAGGAGAATCGACACATTAATGAGAAGTATTTATTTCATTCAAGTAAATGATATTAGCGGATTAATTGGTGGTATCCTCTTGAATGCAGTTTGTCAACAGGAATTACTCGGGGACTGTGATACATTGATGCCCAACAATACATTTCAAACTTGCGGATCTAGACAACATAAATATCACATTAATTATAGTTAGCTGATCAACTGTGAAAGTGATTATACAAAAAGAAAATAGTCTCACTTTGAGAAAAGTAAGGTTAGTTTCTGAAAGTAAATCACATTGCTTGCAAAGTTCCATTTCCACACTGCCGAACAGTACGATTAGTTACCTGGCCATCAACTTCCTCTGTGACAGTTTCAGTGCCATTTTCAACTACTTTCGTAACGCGAACCATTTTGCCATTGACGTACTTGGAGGATGTTGATACTGACCTGAAATTTCCACTGGGAAAACCACCAAAACTGCTGAAGACAGAAGTTGACGAAGTGCCTTGAGGACTTCCGAAACCAGAACTGCTAAAAGCCATCAAGGGATTAAACATTGAGTCGTCGAATGCAGAATCGAATATACTACCCATGAATGAGCTTACATGCATTGGGTCATAACTCTGCATCTGACTGGAACGTCCTGAATGAGCATGATGGTAAGGAGAACCAGATTGCCTTCCAGCAGTTCGGTGGGAGTTTGACCGATGTGTCCGGCCGAAGTGCGAACTGTGTACATCACTCATGCTTGGTCCAAAGAAAGAGTCTAGACCAGAACCACCAAAGAACTCTCTAAATATATCCATTGGATCTCGGAAGTGAAACTGGAATGGTGTGAACACAAAGAAGGGATCAGCGCCTCCGAACCCTTCGGTACCACGTGAAGATCCGTTCAAGACCCCTTCCCTGCCATATTTATCGTAAATACCCCGCTTTTTGGGGTCAGACAAAACTTCATAAGCTTCACTTATTCGTTTGAATCGTTTTTCAGCTTCTTCCTTTTTGTCTGGATTCTTGTCAGGATGCCATCTCAGAGCCAAACGACGGTACGCCTTTTTAATTTCATCCCCTGAGGCATTCTTCTGAATACCCAGGACTTCATAATAACAGGTTTCATCCATTTTACCTTCTCAGGACATAGAGAAGTCTAAATAAGAACGAACCTTCCAAGGTCCCAGATTGGAATTCGCGCCAGGCTGCTAGGTACCCAACCAAACAAGAAAAGGGTATTATTAGCTTTAAAGACTACATGCGATACTCAAGAGGTTATTTAGCTGTTGCCAAGTAAAATTTGAAGTTATCTTTAGCTTGAGATTATGTGTTAAACAAAACCAAAGTCTATTCGTAGAATGAGCGTTTCTGGGATACTAGGAGAAAAAGAAGTGTTTCAGATGAAATGGAAGGGGTACATTGGCACAAAGCAAATAATATACGTTTTGTATATTTCATTTTGAGTCTTGCTTTCCATACATGACCACTAAACAGCAGTGACTGCCACCGACTAGCAAAGCTTATGAATTGAAACTATTTTATTGAGAATGTACCTTAACGTCACTCAAGGGATCCCTCTACTCATTGCATACCGTCGTCATGCTTTTGCTTTTTCACTTTGATCTCTATATGGATAGGGGTGCATCTTAGTGTCATGAATATCATTTAGAGACATATCATGTCCAGAGAAACTGCTTTTATTCATAAATCGGTTCGCCTGTGACATCGCATTCACGTATTCTAGTACTAATAAGCCTCAATGAGTCCTAGATTTGCATCAAAGAAATCTTTTCCGAATACCATTTCGAATTACATCATCATAGTAAACTATATGAAAAGTAATTCATTGGAAGTAGAGACACGAAGCTATCAAAAGACAATTCATAACAGCTAATTTTGTCTATCGACAAACTTTCAGTCTTAACAATCCTGATTATATCCACTCAAAAACTCAAAACTTCTGTTTACGTGATTATATGAGCAGATAGCAACGTATCGTGTTCTTTGGCTGATAACCCTAGGCATTCTGTTTTTAATTATTACGATAACCGTAGTTGCACTGAGTCATACATCTAACAGCATAGGTATAGTCTCTCCTTATGGTATACTTCGGCATGCAGAAATCACAAGCGAACTATCTCAGGTAGATTTACTCTCACTTTGTGACTATGAATCGCGAATCAGTATATGTATTCTGCTTAGACGATGGATAACTCGAAACGCTTTATAATCGCAATACCTCCTCTACGATTTAGACATATTTACTTTATTTGACTACAACATAATGTCTTACCAATAGGCTTCTCCGAATATCTGCTCCTACTTAATATTTCAAAGATAGCCTCATATACTCTATACCTCACAAATTACGCAAGGGCTAATATTCGGTCTTATCAAGTAGAATAAACAAACGAATAACAAGGAATACATTTATTAATGAATTAACATGTAACAACAGTGCAGGCATCTTTTTCTTTATCACCCAAATCCATGAAATTCCCGAAAGTAGATATTATCTGAAAAAGAACATAAGAATTATACAGATGTAGATATTGTAATAAGTGTAAACACAATAATTAACCATTAAATATGCTTAAAATGACACAATAATGATTTGAACTGTATATAATTATGTTAGTCAAACATTTTTCAATAATGCAAAGTTGATATTCCATCTGCCTGTTAACATCAAGTTTATGCCATCAAATAAGGAAATACTATGCATATATAATTTTTAAGTATTTCGGCAAATTTCTCTTAAATAAATACATGTGAAGGAGCTTTGTCAGCATTTAGGCAAAGTACACAACAAAGTAAGTGAAATAATTACCAAAACGAGCTATCCCACCTCATCATGTCCATGTGTAATCCATTAAACTGCAAAATAAATTCACAAAAAGTCGTCATAACATGTGTCTTCAAGTAATTAGTCATTTTCTGAACGGAAAAATTATGTATTTTCAGCAAACTGTAAACTGCCTGTGACCTACGTCCGGATGAGGACACCACCATATGCTCTTTCTGCTAAATAGGCCGCATTTCATCAACTTTTAGCAGGAATATAGGTAAAAAAGTGTGAAAAACAACGAAAAATGACCTAATCTTGACGTTTTTCCAATAAATAACGCCAATATCCATCAGCTGATCAAATGACCTACGTCCGTCTACAGGCTGCCCCTACAACCACGGGTCCCAGATTGGAATTCGCGCCAGGCTGCTAGGTACCCAACCAAACAAGAAAAGGGTATTATTAGCTTTAAAGACTACATGCGATACTCAAGAGGTTATTTAGCTGTTGCCAAGTAAAATTTGAAGTTATCTTTAGCTTGAGATTATGTGTTAAACAAAACCAAAGTCTATTCGTAGAATGAGCGTTTCTGGGATACTAGGAGAAAAAGAAGTGTTTCAGATGAAATGGAAGGGGTACATTGGCACAAAGCAAATAATATACGTTTTGTATATTTCATTTTGAGTCTTGCTTTCCATACATGACCACTAAACAGCAGTGACTGCCACCGACTAGCAAAGCTTATGAATTGAAACTATTTTATTGAGAATGTACCTTAACGTCACTCAAGGGATCCCTCTACTCATTGCATACCGTCGTCATGCTTTTGCTTTTTCACTTTGATCTCTATATGGATAGGGGTGCATCTTAGTGTCATGAATATCATTTAGAGACATATCATGTCCAGAGAAACTGCTTTTATTCATAAATCGGTTCGCCTGTGACATCGCATTCACGTATTCTAGTACTAATAAGCCTCAATGAGTCCTAGATTTGCATCAAAGAAATCTTTTCCGAATACCATTTCGAATTACATCATCACAGTAAACTATATGAAAAGTAATTCATTGGAAGTAGAGACACGAAGCTATCAAAAGACAATTCATAACAGCTAATTTTGTCTATCGACAAACTTTCAGTCTTAACAATCCTGATTATATCCACTCAAAAACTCAAAACTTCTGTTTACGTGATTATATGAGCAGATAGCAACGTATCGTGTTCTTTGGCTGATAACCCTAGGCATTCTGTTTTTAATTATTACGATAACCGTAGTTGCACTGAGTCATACATCTAACAGCATAGGTATAGTCTCTCCTTATGGTATACTTCGGCATGCAGAAATCACAAGCGAACTATCTCAGGTAGATTTACTCTCACTTTGTGACTATGAATCGCGAATCAGTATATGTATTTTTTTTAATAATAAAAATAACAGCTTTATTCTAAACAGTATTTGTGGTACTGGTGTGGAATTTTCAGCGTGCATTACAGTATATTGCATCTAATTACCTCATAAATTATATAAGATTTTTAAAAATCAAAAATAAATCAAAATAAAATAAATAAGTTATAAATAAATAAAATAAATAAATATTAAAAATTAAGAAAAAAAAACAGCGTAGAGTATTTCATTTCAAACAATGCACTACAGGATTTGAAATATAAAGTTGATGTGTGGTAGTAGATGAGAACAACAGTGTAGTAGTAACGAGGAAAGGAAAACAAAAACTAATGGGACTATTTGTTAGAGTGCCGCAGTAAGTTTATCGTGTCATACCTAACGGATTTCTCATCACATAACAGCTGTGCCAGATATGGTATTGTGGAGTTTTTGTATTTGGTAGTCCTAGCATATAGCCTCCTATAGCTGCTTCTAGTTCTTCCAGATGAAATGCAAGGAGATAGATGCGTATAGAGAGGATGCTCGGGGTCCGACAATATTGTATTCGCTAGTTTCTTACATGACATAATATGTCTATCTACAATAGTGTTCACCAGTTGGTTTAACGATATCCCACTTGCCCTACTAACAGCTTTTAGTGCCCTTCTCAGCGAAGCAAAGTCTTTCTTAAGTAGTCCAGGAAAGACTAATGGGGAGCAGTAAAGGAGGATGGGTAGAATACAAGAATTTACAAACTGAGAAAGTAAAGACTGCTTTATGCCAGACTGCCTAAATTTCCTAATGTAGAACGTTAAGCGAAACATCTTTCTAGTAACTAGCAAGATGTGGGAAGACCAGGAAAGATCGGTGGAAAAACTCAGCCCAAGGTACTTGACATAAGATGTATTTTCAACCTCTGTGCCGTCAATGAGAGTGGGGCCATGTGAGCTAACTAGTTGCTGTAGGTCACATTTACGTCTGAAAGTGAAATTGACTACCTGACATTTAGACGGATTAAGCTTAAGTCCGTTTGAAGAGGACCACTGACTAATTTCCGACAGAAAGCTATTTAATTTGGAACAATCTGACTGAGAGTTGACAGGCATAGAAACCGAGAGGTCATCGGCATACTTAACAAAAGTGGCTACATCAGAATGAGGCAAGTCATGTAAGAAAAACGAGAACAGAAAGGGAGAAAGAACAGCACCTTGAGGAACACCAGCTAAAGTAAGTGAGGTAGTGGAGGATTTTCCATTGTAGACGGTGTACTGCTTCCTTTCAGAAAAATAGGAATGCAACCACTTATTTGTCCAGCTTTCAGCCTGTGTTGCAGCAAGCTTACTTAGCAAGAGAGACCTGGGAACAGAGTCAAATGCAGATGTGTAATCAAGGAAGGCACAGCGAACGTATTTAGCTCCTTTATCTAAACTAGAGACTATGCTATGGTGGAGGACGACAGCGGCATCTAACGTACTCCTACTATGTTTATAAGCAAACTGGTTGGGGTCGTTGAAAGGTTTTAAAGAGGGATCAAGATTAAGTAAAATAAGTCTTTCCATAACTTTCAAAAAGGGTGAGGTAATTGAAATGGGTCTAAACTTAACATTAGGTCCACTTGTAGATTTAGGCACTGGAACGATCTTGATGTTTTTCCATGATTCAGGTATAATACTTTTGGAAAACGATTCGTTGAAAATGTCAGTTAGCGGGGAACACAAGATGTCGGCACACTTCTTAAGGATAACAGCAGGAACACCATCAGGACCGAGGGACTGAGTAGGCTTGAGAGATTGAAGACACTTGAGGACATCATTCGTGTTAAAGCATGAGAAGCAGTCATTGTTTACACTATTTGAGTTAGGAATCATAACATTTGCTGGGATACATATGAAGGATTCATTTAGCATGTTAACATCTACAGAAATATCATTCAACATTTGCTTACCACCTGTGATTTCCTTTAATAACTTCCACATATTTGATGGGGATTTACATGAAAGAAACTTCTGGTTATAGAGAGCATTCAATCTTTGTAATTCAAGCTTAATCAAAGTGTTCATTCTCTTAACACCAGATTTGTTTTTCATTTTGAACAACCTTTCTTTTTCACGGCGGAGCTTTTTGAGTTGAGAAGAGGAGAAGCGATCGAATTTTAAGAAGATTGTCTCTTTTGGACAACAAACATCAAGACA